ACACTCGCACAGACACTCTCTGCCTCTTCGGAACACTCGCCAGCCCAAGCTCCGACGCCACTGCCCAGTCGTCCCACTTTTGCTGGTCCTCGGCCGCCAGCTTTTGCGTGCTTGCCTCACTGGCAGCCTCCCTTGCCTCAGCCTCTGCTATTTCGGCGTCCTCTTTAGCCTGCCATGCAAACTCATCCTCCAGCTCCTCATCCGCCTTGAGAGCCTCGTATTGTTCCCTGGCCGCCGCCTGCTCGGCCATTGTGTCCTCCACTGCGATGGCTTCCAGGAGCTCCCTTTCCTCTTCTCCAGGGTCCGCACCTAGGGTTGCCCCAGTTTCTGCCAAATCCAGCTGTGTGCTAGCAACCGCACAGGCCCGATTCGCCAAGCTTTCGGCCGCCTCCATAGTCGGCCACCAGGAGTTTATCCATTGTACACCGCCGCCGTCTCCTGAAAGATGCCCGTATCATTGAAGCCCTCCGCGAACGCCCCCATCAGAGCCTCCACACTCTCCGCCCTGCTTCCCATAGATTTTCGTCCTGCCCCGGTGCCGTACCTCGCAGCAAGCTTGCCTCGTAGAAGTCCCGAGCGCACGACTTGTCTGGGCCTGGACATCTCCGAGAACTGATCCGTCATGCTCTGGAGGTTGATGGCGAAGGTACTGAGTCCGCCCTGGACTGTGTGGAAGGCCGTTGCGGCCTGCATCATGGATGTCCATTCCGCTTCTTCCTCTTCCTCTTCGTGGTCTGGGGCCTCCACCGCAGCAGATGTCCTGGCTGCACTTTCCTCTCGAAGTCGTTGGAGTCGTGCATTCGCAGCAGTCGCCACCTGAGCCTGGCAAAGTCCCTGAACATGTCCGTACGCCGACAGTAGGGTCGCCACATCCGTGGCATCCAAGTCCTCCATTGTCGCCACCAGGTTGTCGACCTGATACTGGGGGAGCCCATAGTTGTTGGGCTCCGGGCCGAGCTCCAGTATTTGCATCCACAGGGCCAACGCTCCATCATGCGACAGCGCATCCGCCTCTACGTTGACAACCTCGGATGAGCCTCGCGCCGACGACGCCCTGCTCGGAGTTGGCCTCCCTTCTCGCAAGGACCTGCTAGACCATGTCATTGACTTGCACTTTCCAGCTCCCTTGGCATCTTTCCCTTTCGACCTGCGGGCTTCAGGTGTACGGCTTCTCCTGGGCCTCCTGTCTCTCTCCCTTTCCCTTCTGCGGTGCGAGTCGTCGTCTTTCTTCAGCCACTTGTCCCTATTGTTGCGTGGCCTCTTCCATGCGGAGTGTCCAACGCCATCAGCGATACCACATCCTTCTCATGTGCCTGGCCTGGCTCTTCGACTTGGCTGGCACAGCCAGGCTCTGCACTCGAAGGCGTTTCCACTTCCACTGCCACCGGTGCTTCTTCCACCTGTTCCATGTTCCCTTCCATGACTGCAGCCCTTGATCCACCGCTTGCCGACTCCAGTGCACCAACTCCCTGGTCCACCTCGGCGATCGCAACCCTGGCCTGCTCTTCGTCCTGAAGGGGCTCCAGAAACGGTTCAGGGTCGCTGTCCGGGTTTAGAGCCCAGAGTTTAGGTCCAGGTCCAGCACTTCTGAGTCACATGTTCATATTATTGTTGTATAAGGGCATGTAAATATGTGTATATATATATATGTAATATACATAGGGACTATATTCTAGTGTTGTTGCGGATGTTCTTGCCCATGCTTTTCTGCCCGGAGCACACAAAGGCAACTCGCAGGCAAAACCGAAAAAGAAAACTCATCACAGCACATCCCCCCTCGAACACTCCTCTTGTTTTATTATATAATCCTATAATCCCTACTATCTAACCCTACAACCCCTACTACAGAAACCGTATAATCCCTACTCCAGCAGGCATTCAAGAGAAGCGATTTGGCGTGCAAGCTGTCGTAGGACTAGAAGTTTGGGGTGTAGGTAGTGTTAGGACGATCCTGCCAGTAGTTTCTGCACATTTCGATCATCGCGGTGTGTCTGTGTGTGCGTGTGTGACAAAAACTGCAGCTGTAGCATCCGCAGGCCCCCAGTAAAGGCTGCGCCCTGCGCCCCAACATGGAGATGATATAGTGGCATTATAGAGATTATATAGTAGGGAATACAGGGGTGTACAGTAGGGATTCCAGGGTTATATAGTAAGGATTGTAGGGTTATATGGTGAATAATCGGGATTATAGGATTATGCAGGGGTACTAAACCGCAGACGCGTTTCCAAAGCCACGGAGCAGTTGCGCGACATTCAAGCTGAAGCCCTACAGTCCCCTTTAAGTAGATAGAGTATGGGGTATATGGGGATCTTATTATAATATACCCAAAGCTATATTCTATCTACTTAAGGGGGACTATAGCACCTTTCCCCGCGTCCTGCCGGTCCTTTCCGTTATGATGACTGCTGCTCCTGCCTGTACTGCATTGAAAACACCGCGCTTATCGCTGCTGAAATAACTTGCTTGCTGTTGGTACTGCACTTGCTGCGATTGCTTACGTCTTCTTAGCAATATCACCAATTCATCATCTTCAACGACGAAGGACGCGATAACAACATGTGGGCGCCTCGCTTGGTTATGCAAAAGACAAACACAATTCTCAAAAATTCACTTGCATTGTCCTCTTAATATCTCTTCTCAGTTCCCACATATGTTCACACACCTGTATATGTATATGAAAAATACATATGTGTGTATAAATATGGTAGTTTCCATAAATGGGGGGGGACCCCAATATAGACCCCAACGTACTATAATCCTTATCATTGGGACCCCCTAAGATGGTACGCCTAATGTTGGGAAATGGGTTTAGGGTTTAGGGTTTAGGGTTTATATGCATATACATGTTTGTATGCCGGCATCCACATTTTGGGCAACCCTCAAGTCCCGAGGGCCTGTCCTTGAAAAGATCTTACACAGAACTCTCTTCTGGGTCACTGCTAGAGAACTTTAAGTTAAGTTGCCATACAGTAAGTAACCCTAAACCCGGGTTCCCTTTTTATGGTAACTTAATGTAAGTTCCTTAACGGCAACCCGGTCATCTGAGGGAGCAGCTGCAAAGCTCCCAGCTTCCTCGACCAGGACGGGCCTGGGATTAGGGCTTAGGGTTCAGAGGATAGAGCTATCATTATTATGGTTACTATTATTACAATTACTATTGCTACTATTATTACTATCATTACTTCTGTTGCTATTATTACTATTATTAATATTATTGCTATTATTACAATTATTACTATGATTACTGTTATTACTATTTAGGGTTTAGAGGTCAGGGTTTAATTTAGAGGTTGGGGTTGGAGGTTTGGAGGTTTGGAGGTTAGGGATTAGGGCTTTTAGGTGTCAACGTTTGAAAGTAGGATGTACTGTTTGGAGGTCAGGGTTTGAGGCTCGAGCTGTTAGTGTGGTTCTTTGGGCTTCCATGCTACCACGCTGCAGAGGAATCACACTTCGGGTATGCGGCTGGAGCTGTTTTGTAAGTTTGGTGTAGGCTTGCAATTGGAGGCCCCTGGCCCGCCACCAAGCCGGAGTGATCGGAATATGGGGGGCTACTGTGGGTCCAGCCCCCACCCAGTAACAGTGTATAATAGGGGTCATACTCAGGGCTCCATGTAGCCATATTTTGTATATTTTCCAGCTGTTAATGAGCGGGGGCAGCACCCAAGTGCTACCGAAAGAACAACTGAAACCTTGGCGCCAAGTGCTGTCCCGAACCCTGCGCAGGTATAGGCGAAGAGTTGAAACTTCCAACGCAGGACCCCAACAAGAATGCTTACTGTAACAACAAGATAAACCCTTTATAATCACAGCTTCCAATTCAGCTTCCCTTTTTTACTGGAGTCTACATTACTAAACAAACCTTCCGAAATCGTGTAGAATCCCTATGAAACCTTTTTATAGAACCAGCAGAACCCTGTACAGTTCCAGTATTATCATTATCCTGGGCCGTTTAGTTGCTGGACACCTGAGCACTCAGCATTGCAGACCCTGTCCCAAAAACATCGGACCTCCTGGAAGGAATGCTTCAAACCGATTACTGCAGACTGCTAAGCCACTTAAACCCGACAAGGCTTAGGATTTCGCAGCCACCGAATGACATCTCCGGAAACTGACCGCTACAGCTAGTCACGAGAGAAGTCTTCTTGCAACTCTTCTGCGCAAGAAGTCTTGAATTTTGCGTGTAGCTGCTGCGGCTGTCTTCTATCCACAGGGAGCGTCACAAATCAAGGGAATGTGCTTCCAGCCGGCCCTACACAACACATAAACAAGCATCGTCTCTGTCATGCTGCGTCGGTGGGAAGTCAAGCCTGCGAAGCTCTTGTCCCAACATCCTTCTTGGCGGGCCCCAAACATCCTGGGCTGCTCTTGAAAACTCACGACCAAAGCGCTCTGTGTAGTGTAGACAAGAACGGCACATTGGAACACCTAGTTCGAGACTCTTGTTGTAGTCAGCGTTTTGCCTGTTACCACAGCGTGCTGTCCACCTGCTCCGCGGGCACCACTTTAAACATCAAAGGCCGAAGAGCCATAAGCAAAGCACTTGTGGCACTTGAAATCAAGAGTTCACAGCTCACTTAAATATGGCTGCTATCTCAATTCCCATGCCGAGCACCAAACTTGTATCCAGGATCGGTGTAAGCTCGGGACCTTTGACAGGCAGAACTAAGGTAGAACTGAACACCTGCCATCCCGTCGTGCCGGGAAGCGTGCTTCAAATGCACACAACCTACGGCTTGACTTCTACACCGAGTTGACACACTTGCGCAACTACTTGAGGCCCGTGGAGATCAACAAATAATCTTGTTTCTCAATCCTAAACCCTGAGCTCTATTACTGTATCATCCACACAGGGAACCTGTAATATTTGCAAAATCCTCATCCAGTAGTCTCCACGAATAGGGCACCCCAGTATCGAACCCAAAATACTGTTACCCCTAGTATATGCAAATCCCCCATATAATCTTGGGATCTCTAACTTGCAGCCCGCGCATCGTCAGGCTCAGAATGGCCAGAGTGTGCTCGCATCGAAGAGCCCCGGCAGCTCCTTCCCTATAAAATCATCCAGGCTCCCGCCAGTGCAATGCCACCAGGACCTGTGGTGGAATTGGGGTTAGGTTTTCTTTTTATCTAAGCCCCTTTGAACATGAGACTAGGGAAATGGGAGCCTCAACAGCAAAACAAAAAATGGCAAACAAGAGTGGATCCAGCAATACTACCATATCCAAAAAACTGCCCTACTTCTTGAAAACCTGAACCCCCAGGTTACACACACATCTCTAAATAACTCCCTGTTTTTGCGTGTAGCCCTCCAGAACCTCTTTAAAGGGGGCCCTGATTTCTGGAAACCCGCTGATAGAGATTCGAGCAACGTTGAGCCGGGGCGTCCGCCATCATTTCGCTTCGGGAACCGGGTCTGGTCCACACAGTCCTCCCACGCCAGCAACAACAACTGGGTTTCTGTTAAGGAACTTAAATTAAGTTACTATATTGGGGAAACCTTATTATTTAATATATATATATATACACCCATTATGGTAACTTAACTTAAGTTCCTTAACAGCAACCCAGACAACATCATCGCGTTGAGGCACCCGTTTGGTTCAGGGTTCAGGGGGCCTTGGTGTTGTCTAGGGTTCAGGTTGTAGAGCCTCGCCGAGTGACTACTAGTGGCATCACTGGAACTAGAAAGGACCGTAATATATTAACCGTTATTCCCCCTGGGTGGCTGTTGGTGGTGAGGCCTGGACCTCAAACATCTTAGCAATTTTGAATGAGAATCATGGACAATGCGGAAATGTGTTCAGACTCCCCCGAATGTGCTGCAGAAACACCATGTCCTCCACAGCGCGCGAGCCCTGCAGATCATAGCCCGCGCCATCCTCCCAGCGTGACGCCACCACAAAGCGCACGGGCTCCCCGCAAAAGACATCTGGCACGGGGCGCTTCTCGTGCGATTCATCACCCCAGCAGAGTGTAATGTGACCACCACCAACCCCGCACCAACCCAAGGCACAGGGCCAAAGGCGTGGAGGGGGAATCAAGCGCAGGTGGCCGACCCCGTGTACCCGCGCAATGAGGCGTGGGCAGGCTGGCCGAGGATCCCGCATGCAATGCACCATCTTGCCATCAACATAGACCCACACCATGCCAGCCTCCAGAAGTAGACCAGCAGTGCGATGGACCCTGGCCACGTCCCCGATAGCCTCAGACATAAGGCACCGTGGAGGTAGGTAATCTGTTAGACACCCTCCACAACCTATCAACCTTGAAAATCAGTCTCCTAAGTCAAGTCTGTTCAGCAAGGAGTGACAGACTGGACCCTTGTAGTAGAGCTTATATAACCCTCGAACATACTAGCTCGCATGTTCTTTCGCGCTCCTTCATACCCCCCTAAACAGAAGTAAGCTAACTCTAAAGCCTACACCCCACGTATCTCTAACATCCAGGTAAACACCAGTTTCCATTCTCTTCTCCATGTATTTAATCCTCGACTATAGGGGCAGTACCATAATCACCCCAACTCCCCTAAACCCTACACCTCTACACCCTCAACCCCTAACCCCTACACCCTAAACCCTAAATAGTAGTTTCCATTTTCTTTTCCATTACCCCTATGGAATCCCTATGTCACCTTATAATATGAGCCATTGGCTAAACTCCTAGTACATCGGACAAAAGTCTTGGTCATTTGCAGGTGAAACAGTCGATCAATTGTCGACAGGTCGGGTAAGGGTTAAATAACTAGTAAAGGCGGGTAATACAAGCGCACAGGCAAGAGAAAGGGTTTCAAGA